AATCGACAAGAGAGGTCTCCGCCCTGTTGCTGAGTACAATACCTACCCCGCGCTGACCTACTGGACGAGCTTCACCGTTGCCTGATGTGCGAAGAACGTATCTCGACGAAAAATGTGGTGCGTTCAAGTGGCACGACACCGTCCAACGAGCTTCAGTTACGGGAGGTAACCTGGTTAGCGGCAGGCCAGCTGAACTGTTCTTTGAAGTACACGAACTGCTGGAACTGATAGTCGATGGTGAGCTATCCCAGTTTGCTGAATTCATCACCGGCCAGTCAGTTGGAGAGTGAACTGAGTCAAAACTAATGCGTGGTCAGACTCAAAACAGGTGTTCCAATAGGACCTGCAATTTTGTACTGAGCCACTCCAATAGTAGCTTACTGCTATGTGGTCGATTTGAGTTGGCGTACCAGTTGAACTGGAGCGCCACGTTGGCGTCCGTCGAGAGCTGTCGGAAGTTGGTGCTAGGTAGGAACAGATGATGATCTGCGCAGAACGAAAGAAGTCGATCACCGTTCTCTGTTCGTTTGGCTGGGCAGGGCACAACTACCGCCTAGGCAAGCTTCTGATGCGCTCAGTTTTCCAACTTGCATATTAAAGTCACCTGCAAGTACAACTATGTCGGAGCTTCGACTCGGTCGCATGAGATCGACTAGTTTGTCGTTGGAAGCGTCCTTTTAGGTATCAGAATCGCAATTGATCGGTGCCAATGCCGATACGATGAGCAAACACCTTTTGGTGTTGCTTCTCTTCTGGACGCTGATTGAACCCTAATGACGCACTGCACATAAACGACTATTGATGGATATCCAATCGACAAGAGAGGTCTCCGCCCTGTTGCTGAGTACAATACCTACCCCGCGCTGACCTACTGGACGAGCTTCACCGTTGCCTGATGTGCGAAGAACGTATCTCGACGAAAAATGTGGTGCGTTCAAGTGGCTTAAAGTAGTAGGATCCTGAATTCGAGTCTACGACACGCAGCAAATATCGATCCCTAAGAATTCCATTGTACGCGTCAGACAAGCTTGTTGACCCACCTGCATCAGAGTCCTCACGTTGAGGGCCCCTAGATTCAGTGATTGACGAGGTTTTAGAATCTGCAATTCACTTCGTGGTACATTACTTACAGTGTCATTTGGCAACGACCTTTGGTGAGCGGCATCCAAGTTGCTTGAGGGACTATTTCAGGTCGGAAGAAGGGACCAATGGAGAGGGCTGAATGAGAAAGACAAAGAATGTAACGAGGATTGGGATATCTGAGCAGTAGCTCACTTATCATTCCCCACCCCGCTCAATGCAATGGACAGCGCGGTCCTGAATGTCCTGCGCGACGACCGATACAGTATGGAATTATTTTTAGTTTGTGTATGCATTGGGGTTTGACGGACGGGTATTATTAGGGTGTCCAGCTACAAAGCAGGAGAACGATTAGGGTTCTCATTCAAAGGTTTTAGTTGTAACAAGAACCTAATCGTAAGGCAGCGAATGAAGCGGAGTGGAGTCCCATTTACTTGGATCGATTACCCTTCCACAATTTTTTACCAACTGAAACGCCAATCCTAGTCGAACCCCCAACCTAGAGAACTAGGAGACTGGAATTCGTCTGACCTCTACTCATTGATCTTCCAGGCATTATAAGATCTGCTGGTTTGACAAAGGCCATCCTGTGTAGATCGTTGGGTCAGCGAGGTGCACAAACCATCACACCACGTCAAGGTGCCGTCTCATCGTGATGGTTCCCTCACTTTGGCAGGAAAACACCGCCTGGGGAAGGCACAGTACGGCTTCCTCAGTAGAGGTTATTTAGGGCGCTTGGACATATGAGAGCATTTTACGACGCTCAAGGAAGGAGGATAGGATACAACCCGAGACATACACCCCGACCATACGGATGCTTTCGTAGACCAAGAACTAATACGGAGAACAGAGTTGAGTATGAGTGATCGAAATTCAAACCTCACCTGGATACTGCCAATAACTCAGCCAATTCGCCTGCTGTAACGACCGATCCCTTATTTAGATGACAGCCTCAAACTACCACTATGTGATTAAAACGGTTTTGTAACAAATAGAATGGAAGTGAATGGCCTTCGTGTAATGTCTATCACAGACTCGTGAGGTGAGTATTACTCCATAGTTTTCTTAAAAATAAGTAATCCTGAAAGTTTCAACTGACATTAAATACCCTTTTAATCCACTATTTTTATCAGCTCCACCTGCGTGCATCATACACCATTAATGAAATACTCATAAGCAATGCCTTGATTTCATTTACTACCCAGTCAACCGCTAGATCACATATGATGTGGATCCAAAATCACAATAGACAATATCGTATCGAGAAGTTATCTTTACCAATCAATAAAAACAACTTATCTTTATCTTTTTTATTTTATCTCCTTTTATTGAATATGCAATGGTTCAATTTTCAGGAACGGGGACATTCGGCAACTTGAAGTGAAAGTCTTCAGTAAAATCGACCGTAGAGTGGTGCCTAATGCCCATAGAGACAACCCGCAGTTTAATTGAAAACAAAATTGTACCATGCATAATATTATTCGGCAAAAATGATTACTCGTGAAGGCTGTGAAGATAAATAAATTGCAACTATCACCTCTAAAGTTAACAAATGAAGTCAGGTTGAAGCTGGCGCCGGTTGGGCTAGTGAGGATTCAAGGGTGCGCATAACACGCAACACTGTTTCCTCACGAAAAGGTTTTCCAACCACCTGCACTGCCACAGGTAAACCTTCGCTGTTTTTTTGCATGACAGAAACACGAGACTGGAACAATTCACCATCCAGGCGTTGATTGATTGTCGCCTTTGTTGCCTCCATAACATCTACCCGATCCACAAAACCAGTGAGAACTGTACCAGCCGGGTAATCGAGTAGGTTATATAAGGCCGCGTAGAAAAGTGAAAAAGTGACGAGCGCCGGTGGTGCAGAACATGGTGGAGCTGGATAAGCAGATACAGGACAGATTACCGCACTCATACAGGAAATAGACGAAGCAAATTCTTGACGATAGGATTGAATAGCTGTTTGCAGATCACTAAAGTCTTTTGCTCCATAAAGACCACTTAGACTACAAGTCAGCGCCATAGGTCTGCACCCGATAATTGATAGAACAAAATCAGCTGTTGTCTTCATCCAATGAGGCAACAAAAGTGCCGCACGCAACATTTTTAACTGCTTGCATAACGGTTCATGTGCCAAAATCGAACGCAGCTCGGAACCTCCATCAGCAAAGAGAGCACGTAGAAACAAGCGATAAGCTTTTAATATGTTCGGGGGTTCAAAACGGACAATATGATGTCCAGCTTTGGCTAGGGCGGCTGCTGCTTGGTTTATAGACTCCCGAATTACTGGAACAGTGTGCATCAAGTGTGGATCTGTAAATGTGTCATAAAAGCCTATCGTCAATGTATCGT